GATTAGAGCTATTTGTACTTATTTATAAATCATCTGTATAGAGATGATAACTGAACCCTTGGAAATAGATGAAGTCTCAAAGAGAAGAGAAAAGGGCTCACAAAGGGTGCTTATTTCTCAACTTTTCTCAGACCTGTTATTCAGAACATTTGGGTCTTACCATTTAAAATAATTTCTATATTTTATATCATATAGGCAATCTTTACCTTTCATTGAATAGAATGTGAAACTAGTTATCTGATCATTTGGTGGAAGAGAATAATATAGGGGAGCAGTTTTCAGGAATTATTCAAGGATTGCCGCATTTTAGTATCTTCCTGCTTTGTTCATTTGAGTTCTGACTATATAGGCTGGGTATTTGGAAAGCTAAGAAAGGAAAGCTTTTCTGTGGATTAGCGTCTTAGAGGCTTGCATAACCTATCCTATCTTCTGTTGTCTGACGTTTTATACCAGCTGCATAGTGTCCTTTAGTGTTTCATTTTTCTTTTTTTACATTGTTCCAAAAATGTAATATTCTTCATTTAACAAAGGATATTAGGATATGATTTTTTGGTCTTCAGAACACTTGGATCATTAGTATGGGATGGAATCTTTATGAAGAAACTTCTTTGTAAAAAGTAGTATATATAAGATATGTTTCCTTAAATTTTGTGAATTTTTATATCCTAATAGCTTAACATCAAATTCTTGAGTATCTCTACTGTCAATTGGACCGAACCTCTTGGCCTGTGGAGGCTGGAACCAGACAGAGCAGGCAAGAACAACTATGCAGACACTAAGACAGAAGTTTATTTTCTGTAGTGAGGGAAACGACTTGCAAGCAAGGAGGGCAACTGGACACATTTGCCAGGCCCCTCCCATGGAGGAACCCAAGGCAATACGGGCAAATCTCAATACTTATGATGAGGTCTAGAGGTTTAGGGGTGCTAGGACCCCGAGATCACAACACGCAGGTCCTGCCTGAAAGAATTCAACCCAAGCCTTCTTTCAGTCAAAGACAAGGTTTATTAAAGATCTGCCATATTAGCCAGACTACTAAGGAATCTGAGCATTTGTGAGCTATTGTAAAAATCTGAGTGGTGGCTAGATTATATGAATCTGAGCATCTTAATGGAGACAAGATGGACCTTATATACAGAAAGACTATGGGAGGGATCTAGGAATGGCCAAGTAGTCTGCGGGGACTGTGAGGTAATAGAATTCCAGGGACCTGGACCATGTGGCCAAGGGAGAGTGGAGGCTAGCTAGGATTAAGGGTGGGAAGTGGGGGCCATAGGGAGGTAAGACAATAGAGGGCTAGGCTAGGTTAAGGGTAACAGAATTGGGAGATTGGGCGTAGCCACAATGAAAGGCCAGTTGATGGGACTATAGTCTCATGCAAAAACCAGAGATTTGGCCATGTGGGAAAGTCCAAGGTTTTTCCTTTCTGGGATCCAGATCCCAACCCCCTCATTCCCCCCTCAAACAAATGGGACCCAGATTCTTTTGGTCTAAAGAGTGAAGGTCTTGGCTTCTGAAACTGCGTCCTGCTGGCAAGGGGCATAGAGCTGTCTCTGCCTCAAAGGGGTCCCAAAGAGGAGGTTGACTGGATCTGAGCATAGGCTGCATCCAGGGAACAATGGGGGGACATTGGCTGGTACCCACTGTTTGCTACCAACTGTAGGTGAATGGGCTGTAGTCTGGAAGAGACAAATTTGATAAAAAAGACTGCAGGGCCCAAGTGACAGGATAAAACATCCTTGGCTCTGTTTGGACTCAGATAATTCAGTTTTCCAACCATGCCATATCAAATCCACCTCATAGCCAGGGAATAGCCAGGTGGGTAACATTCTTTTTCAAAAGAACATAATGGGGAAACTGAGCCAGGAGGATCTCATATTAGACTGAGGCTAAAATTGTCCTCTCAGCTTTTTCCCAGAGCTGACTTCCCACCAGGATCACATTCTCTCAGAGTAGCTTGTGGCATTTCTCAGATAGTGGATTATTGATTTATTGATGAATTATTATGGTTCATTAGACAACTCAAAATCATGAGCTTTTTTACCTCAAAAACTTTTCCAAAATTTATATTTCAAATTTAAATTTATCCTGGTATAAAAAGTCAATTGTTAGAGATTATTTCTATATCCTTGCAAATTCTCAGCAAGACAAAACCCAAACAAGCTTTCTGGCAAGTTTACACATTAAAACAATAACCAACAATAGCCAAATTATTTTACTGGAAACCAAATTATGAAAAGTTGCTTGACATAATTCCCTGATGCTAAACAATTAGCTCAGCTTTCTCCCATACTTCTCTGGGAATATGGGGAGGTCTGGTGCAGAGAGGGAAAAGGGAGATGGGAGGCTTAACTAGAGAAGATTGGCTCCCCAAATTCACCATCAGGTCCCTTCCCAACAAAGGGGCGGGGCAAGAGGAGAGCATCAGGAGGGAGTATTCAGACAGATCTTCGGGGAGGGAGTATGTCTGGAGATATCCCTTAGTTTTCCCTTCAGTGCCCATGACCGAACAGGTAGAGGGGTGGATAGGGCCAGAATAATTGGTTAAAACAGAGAACATAGCCATGGTAAAATGGGTAACCATACCTCTGACCTCTATTTTTGCCCAGGGTTTGATGAGAGAGATGGAGAAAGTGGGAGTGCTACCAAGCTCCAGGCTCCCATCATACCCAGTCTTGAGAAGACTGGAAGATGGGGTACTGGGGGGCGACTCCACCACTTTTCCAACCTCAGGGCCAATCCTTCCTCCAGTGTCCCTCCTGGTCACATCTTGGGCATGGTCCCAGAGGCGTTGGTCATGGGGGCTCCCTCTGGGGGGGTGTCCTGGAGGGCATTCCTTGGACCAGTGTGGCCCTCACTGCCTGAGTGGACAGGCTTCCTCGAGGGGGCACCCTGGAAGGGCATTCCTTGGACCAGTGGGCCTCCTTGTGGCATTGAAAGCAGGTTTTCCCACTGCCAGAGTTGCCAAGAGCACCCTTGAGTCTTTTCCTGGCCATGACAGCAGCCTAAAACTGAGCATGTTCTCTGTCTCTAGCCCTTTCCCTTCTTTTTCTTTCCTCTGCTGCTACTAAGTCTGTGTTGTTAAAAACTCCAAAGACTGTCTCCAGTAATTGGGCCTGAAGTGTTTGGGGTTCCATTGCCAATTTCTGCATTTTCCTCTTAATATCTGGGGCAGATTGACTAATGAAATAGTCAATCTTTCTATAGAGTCGGGATCTAAATTTGTATACTTTTTAATAGCATCTACTAGCCTGTCTTGGAAAAGGGCAGGGTTTTCCTTTTCTCCCTGAGTAATTTCCTTAATTTTTTGAAAATTTACTTGCTTTTGAAATGCAGTTCTTAGGCCTTCTAGCAGGCAAATTACCATATAGTCTCTCTTTCCCCTATCCTCACTCTTTTGATAATCTCATCCTGGGTCAGTAGTGGGAACAGCAGCTGTTCCTGGGGGGTATTTTGTTGGGTCATTGCTAGCCAAATGGTCTCCAAATTTTTGGGCTTGTTCCCAGATTGTCCTCTTCTCCTCAGTGGTACAACAGGTGGAGAAGAGGATATGCAAATCACCCCAAGAAAGCTCGAATTATAGGGACACATCCCTAAAGCCCTCTACCTTAGTGGAATCTTCTGAGTATTGCCCTAGTTTCTCTCTGACCTAAATGAGGTCTGAAATGGAGAAAGGAACATGCACCCTAATTGTCCCATTAACTGAAACAGGAACTTCCCTTTGGGGAAAAAGCCCTGAAGACACTATGGGAACTGGGGCTAGGGAGGAAGGGAGATCGGAAGTCCCACTTCTTTTGAGTGAAGGACTGGGGAATGCTGAACTGGTTGGACTGGACTGCAAAGCCAGGGGATCTGGCTGGCAAGGGGAAAAATCAACTGACACTGGAGGAGGGGGAGGGGTCAGGCCAGATACCACCAAGACTGGGAGAAATGGAGGTTAGGATACGTGAAAGGTGAACAAGGCAGGATATGAAGGGAGGTGGGCTAGAGGAAAAGGGAAGGTAAACCAGGGGAAGGAGAGGGGGGCATGGGAAACAGGGGTAGCCAGGGTAGAATGGGATGGAGATAGGAGCTGGGGAGGTGGTGTTAACAGAGGATGGGAATGATGAGGTCTAGAGGTTAGGGGTCCTGGAATCCCAAAATCATGACACCCGGGTCCTGCCTGAAAGAATTTGACCCAAGCCTTCTTGCAGCCAAAAACACGGTTTATTGAATATTCTCCATATTAGCTAGACTCTTAAGGAATCTGAGCATCTGTGAGTTATTATAAAAATCTGAGTGGTGACTAGATTATATGAATCTGAGCATCTTAATGGAGACAAGATGGACCTTATATACAGAAAGACTATGGGAGGGATCTAGGAGTGGCCAAGTAGTCTGCAGGGACTGTGAGGTAATAGAATGCCAGGGACCTGGACCATGTGGCCAAGGGAGAATGGAGCCTAGCTAAGATTAAGGGTGGGAAGTGGGGTCCCTAGGGAGGTAAATGGAGGGTGAGGCTAGGTACAATGAAAGGCCAGTTGATAGGATTATAGCCTCAGGCAAATGCCAGAGATTTGGCCATCTGGGAAAGTCCAAGGTTTTTCCTTTCTGGGATCCAGATCCCAACCCCATCACTTATACCAGTGACTACACGGTGAACTGTAACCTTGACAGAGACGGGTAACAGCAACAGTGGGACAAGTTGATTCATAGCCAGGCTTGTCTGAGCTCAGAGAATACCTGGTGCTGGTCAAAGCAGTACAATGATTATGTAAAACAATTCTGGGATTTTGCTGTGGCTGTGATCATCCAGAGGGTGAGTACAGAGGGTTGTTGATTAGGGCATAGCTTGCTTGCTGGACCTTAGCTCTGGAAAACAGGGTGTCTCCTAATAATATCTTGACACTACCATGAGTCCATGAATATTTTTGTTTTGGTTGGAACAGAAGAAAAGTACTATAGGCATGTGGGATGTTGCTGAAATAACTTACAACCCATTTTTTTCCGTACTTCCTCAGGCATCAGTTCCTGCCCAGAGATCATTATAGTTTCATCTTGCCCATCAAGTAAGACTGACACACCAATTAATCAGAATGTAGATGATGAGGCTCAGGGAATAAATGGAAGAGCACCAATTAACGTGTCCCCATATTCAGCTGCAAGTCCAAAGCCACAAGGTAAGTTCACATGGGTTGAACTTTGGTTAGGTAATTTTGTTTTGGGGTCTGAACTTATTACTCCATTAATGTGGGTAACTCCTAGTGAAGAAACTCCCTCTACTCATGTAAACTGGAAGCTTATATACAACTTATGGTCTTTTTTTTTTTTAGTAGATTGTATTTTATTTTTTCCCAATTACATGTAAAGACAATTTTTAACATTCATTTTTTTATAAAAAATTGACTTCCAAATTTTCTCCCTCCCTCCCCCTTCCATAAGACTGTAAGCAGTTTGATACAGGTTTTGTATATATATACACACACACACATATATGCCGTCATGTTAAACATATGTCCATGTTAGTCATGTTGTGAAAGAAGAAACAGAATAAAAGGGGAAAAGAAAACATGAAAAAAATAAAGTGAAAATAGTATGCTTCAGTCTGTATTCAGACTTCATCAAGTTCTTTCTCTGGATGTGGATAGCATTTTCCATCATGAATCTTTTAGACTTGTCTTGGATTGTATTGCTGAGAAGAACTAAATCATAATTGATCATTGTGTAGTGTTACTGATACCATTACAATGGTCTCCTGGTTCTGCTCACTTCACATTATGTCGTTGCATGTAAGTCCAGATTTTTCTGCAGTCATCCTGCTTGTCGTTTCTTACAGCACAATAGTGTTCCATTACAATCATAGACCACAACATGTTCAGCCATTCCCCAGATGATGGACGTCCACTCAATTTCCATTTCTTTGCTACCACAAAAAGAGCTGCTGTCAATATTTTTGTACATGCAGGTTCTTTTCCCTTTTTTATGGTCTTTTTGGAATATAGACCAATAGTGGTGTGTATTGCTGGATCAGAAGGTATACACAGTTTGATTGCTCCTTCAGTCTAATTTCAAATTGTTCTCTAGAATGGTTGGATCAGTTCATAACTCCACCAGCAATGTATTAGTGTCCCAAATTTCTCGTATCTTCTCCAGCATTCATCATTTGCCTTTTTTGTCATATTGGCCAATCTGATAGGTGTGGGGTTGTACCTCAGAGTTGTTTTCATAAGCATCTCTCAGTGATTTAGAGCATTTTTTCATGGCTATAGATAGCTTAGATTACTTCAGTTGAAAATTGCCTGTTCATATCCTTTGGCCATTTATCAGTTGGAGAATGACTAGTATTCTTATAAATATGACTCAGTTCTCCATATATTTGAGACATGAGAGCTTTTATCAGAGATACTTGCTGTAAAAATTGTTTCCCAACTTTCTATTTTCCTTCTAATCTTGTTTGCATTGTTGTTGTTGTTGTTTTGGTGCAAAACCTTCGCTGGCCCTGAAGTCAGGAGGACCTGAGTTCAAATCTGGCCTCAGACCAAACACTTGACATTTACTAGCTGTGTGATCCTGGGCAAGTCACTTAACCCCAACTGCCAAAAAAAAAAAAAAAAATTAGTCATTTTATGTTTTGTAATGCTCTCTGTCTCTTGGTCATAAATTCTTCATAGATATGAAAGGTAAATTATTCCTTGATCTCCTAATTTGCTTATGGTACCACCCTGTATGTCTAAATTATGTAATCATTGTGACCTTATCTTGGTACGGGGTGTAAGATGTACAACTTAATAGTCTTAAATAGCTGACTGAGGCACTAAAACTAAGTCGCACAGCCAATATCTGTTAGACTTAAACCTTGGTCTTCCTAACTCCGAGGCTAGTTCTCCATTATACCATACTGCCAAGGTAGATTTACTTGGTAAAAAGAGGTAGAAGCACTGCTACAGAAATGATGTTCATTAAACTGTAAAGTAGTTTTGCAAGTACTTTGTAAGGTAGGAGAGAGATGTTGTCTGTATTTAGCATGTATTCGTTTTTGTGTTACAGAGTTGTGATTTGCAAGCCCTTAGGTGGTCTGCAAAACTGATCGTTCTGATAAAGTTTAAATGTGCCTGTTAGACCATCTATTAACTTTCTGTAGAGTATATAGACATTTTGTTGTCATTATTTCATGGAGAGAAAGAGAGAGAGAGTGTCTTAGATTAATCTCTAGTACCTTGTAGCTTCAAGTACAAATAATGCTAAGAAGTACAAAATTAATTTTGGTTTAAATATTTAGAATTTGAGGGGAAGAGGGTGGCAAGAAAGTAGTTAATTCTTTTGAAACTATGCCACAGAAATAAAACTGGCTTTGTTTAGTTTACTCTTTGTAAGAAAATATTTTTATTTCTAGTCAGTGTTGATCATCAAAGAGTGCATTCTTTGCACTCTTTTGCATCACTGTTCATTCTCAAATTTTCTTGATAGTATTAAAAAAATCAATTTCTGATTATTTTGCTTTGGATTTACTCTTATTTTTCTCCTAACACTTTAAAGGCAAATAAAACAGTCAATAATAAGATCAATTAATATTATAATGTTATATTAATAGCTAATTGTTCATTTGTGATATACCTTTTTCTTTTCATTTTTCTTTTCATTTCTCTTAAAACCCAACTCCTTGAAAAGGTCAGTCAGCCTCTGAAGGGCATGGCTGAGTGATGAGATTTTCAAGGCTCTTAGGTTGGGCTAGACATCCCACAAAATCTGAGAGACCTAATTTCTGTTTTAGAATATAAACAAAATCCAGTCTAGTTGAACCTTTGCCTGAAGGAAGAACCCCCATCTTTGATCCCCTCCCTTAGAGAGTAGGGCAATCCAGCTCAAGAAGGAGAAAACTAGCTGGAGAGGTCTGTATGGAAATGGCTTCCCCTGCCCAGGTGCCTTGAGGCTGCTGAGCCTCATGATCTAGTGACTTTGTCAACAGAAGAAGCTGAAGAAGTTTAGCCCACATCTTCATTAAATGTGTACCAATCAGGGTTGGTTTTCACTTGTCAAGGGAGTTCCCTTTCAGAAGAGATTTAATGCATTCCAGTATCTCCCTTGGTAATTTTGGTTACTGAGAGAAACCACCGACCATCAATTTATTGATTGCCAGCTAGCTTAATTAATAAATTAATTATTAATTACCCAGAAATGCTGTCTCTTAGGGTTTTCTTTCATCTCAATAATTGGTTACATTTTTCAAAATTTTATAATTTAAAGGTCTCTGGAAGGAAGGTTTAAAATAGAATACTCTCAGTTGTGAGAATTATTCATCTATTTTCTTTTTTTTTTCATTTAATATTTTATATTTTCCCAATTACGTGTAAAAACAATTTTTAATCTTCTTTTTTTAGTTTTGAGTTCCAAATTCTCTCCCTCCATATTAGTCACATTGTAAAAGAAAATACCCTACCTCCCAAAATTTAAAAAAAAAGTTTAAAAAAGTATTTTTCAATCTATATTCATATTCCATTAGTTCTTTTTCTGAAAGTGGATAGCAGTTTCATCATTAGTCCTTCAGAATTTCTTGGATTGCTGTATTGCTGAAAATTGCTAAGTCATTCACAGCTAATCATTGTACAACATTGTTGTTTCTGTGTATATTGTTCTGGCTTTGCTCATTTCACTTTGCAGCAGTTCATGTATGTCTTTCCAGGTTTTTTTGAGTGCACGTTAATCATCATTTCTTAGTTGCACAATAGTATTCCATCACAATCATACACCACAACTTATTTGGCCATTCCGCAGTTGATGGGTATCCCCTCAATTTCCAATTCTTTGCCATGACAAAATGAGCTGCTATAAATCTTTTTTATATATAGGACCATTTTCTTTCTTTCTTTTTTTTTTAATCTCTTTGGAATACAAACTTAGTAGTGGTATTGCTGGGTCAGAGGGTTTACATGGTTTTATAGCCCTTTGGGCATAGTTTCAAATTGCTCTCCAGAACAATTGGATTGGTTCATAGTTCCATCAACAATACATGAGTGTCCCAGTTTTCCCACATCCCTTCCAACATTTGTCATTTTCCTTTTCTGTCATATTAATCAATCTGATCAGTCATCTTGATGTGTGCTTGCCACTGGACCCAGGTGGCTCTGGAACAGAGAGTGAGGCTAGTGACTTTGCACAGCCCTGCCTCACTTAAATCCAGTTTACTTGCAAGTCAAGACATCACCTTCATGATGTCATTGATCCCCTTTGAGAACAAAGGACAAACAACAAGTCAATTTGATAGATGTAGGATGGTACCTCAGACTTCTTTTAATTTGCATTTCTTTAATGATAGTGATTTAGAGCATTTTTTCGTATGACTATAGATAGCTTTGATGTCTTTGTCTGAAAACTGCTTGTTAAGGCCTTTGACCCCTGTCTGCTATTATTTAAATGCAAAATACAAAGTAATTTAATATGATTTGAGGGATTGGACATTAGTAACTAGAGAAATTTGGAAAGGCCTCTTGTAGGAGGTGGCATTTGAACTGATCTTTGAAGGAAACTAGGGATTCTAATGTTATGGAAGCATGGCCAAAAGTTGCAGGGGATATACATTTGTATGGATTTCTTCGATATATAGTGTTACAAGACCTGCGGTCTTTTAGTGTTGCCACTGCTAGGTCATGTGTGATTCTATTCTCTGCCATATTTAAATTGTTTTTTTCTTGTTGCTTGTAATATTTTGTCCTTGAACTGTGGGTTTCAGAATTTGACCATGATATGCCTTAGGTTTTCCTTGTAGAATCTCTTTCAGGTGGTGATCAGTGGATTTTTTCTATTTCCACTTTCCCCTCTTGTTCTGATGCTTCAGGACAGTTTTCTTTAATTATTTCTCTTATTGTTGTATCAAGATTCTTTTTTAGATCATAGCTTTCAGGTAGTCTAATTATTCTTATTCTTATGTTTTCTCTTGATCTGTTCTCCAGATCAGTTGTTTTTCTTATGAAATGTTCCATATTCTCTTTTATTTTTCATTCTTTATATTTTGTTTTATTATTTTTTGGTCTCTTATAACTTTGCTGGCTTCCCCTTGCACAATTCTAATTTTCAGAGAATCCCTTTCTTCCTTAAGATTCTGGATCTCCTCTTCTAATTGGTTGACTTTCTTTTCATAATCTTCTTGTTTTTCTTGAATTTTTTTTTTTAATTTTTCCTTGTC